GACAAATTTCCTCCCAGCTGAATATATCAAAGAAAATAAAACCTTAGAAACTAAACTTCAGACAAAAAGTGAATTAAAAAGTCTTGGGTATAGCTAAAAATGGATTACCGCAGCAAGCACGAAAGTGCTTCTTCCGCTTCAAAACCAAAACATCCTGCTACTCTGTCACTGCATCTCAAAACAACAGAAAGAATTTGAATCCCACACCACACAGAATCTCGATGCTTTCCCAAGAAATGCCTTTTTCGTCTACGACATTCTGAAAGCCTTTTCATGGAGTCCAAGTAACAAGACCAATCCCACAACTTAGAGAAAACCTCAGGTATAATGACGAGAAAACGATATGATACTCGAAGACAAAGAAAGTACGCAGCTGCAGCCTGATCCAGGGGAAAAATAACAGATAAGCATACTAACAACGTCATATAATTTACATATGATGCTCTGATACCAATAAACGTCAAAGACAACAAGCATACCTCCTCCTTCTGCGACTTAGAAACTATTTCTTTCACAAGAATTCGCTCGTATGGTGGTGGAGCTTCCTTAAAATAACTTAAAATAGACCTAAAATTTAAGAAAGCTTCTATTAGGAGACTGTTTTTACTAACCCAAACATAACTTCTTTTCAGATTTCTTAGCTTTATTACTGGTTCACATCACTAATTTCATCTTGCATAGGCAAAATAAAGTAAACGAGTCATCTTACCCTAGCAAAGACGTATTCAAATGAAGCGCACGACTGAAGGCCAAGCAAGCACACTCGTGAAGCTCCAACCTTTGTCCACGCCGAACATAAAAATCGATCACACTAATACCTTCCTTCATAGCAATATCCAAAACTGATGAAACATCATCCGAGTAGTCAGTACTTGACTTTAGATCACCCACTATATGAACAAGACCCACCACTCTATCTACAACCCTTCTTATAATTGGAAGGAAAGAATAAAAACCAATGGAACTGTAAACTCCAGGTGAAGAAACACATCCGATAAAGCATTAATCACCTCTTCGTTATCCACCACTTCACCTCCCTAAACAACCAAAAACAAAAACTTTCAAAACAAACTCAAAACCAAAACTGCAACCATAAAGACAAAAACTTTCAAAACAAACTCAAAATCAAAATTGCAACCATAAAGACAAAAACTTTCAAAACAAACTCAAAACCAAAATTGCAGCCATAAAGACAAAAACTTTCAAACCAAACTCAAAACCAAAATTGCAACCATAAAGACAAAAACTTTCAAAAAAAACTCAAAACCAAAATTGCAACCATAAAGACAAAAACTTTCAAAGCAAAACTCAAAACCAAAATTCTGGGTCACATTTAGTAACAATCACTAAGACTTTACCTTGCTGAGAATCGAACTGAAGACTGGAAAAGCTGCCACCTTGGGACAACGTTCAGAAAAAGTCTCCAAGGCAAGTTTAAGGTTGAAACTCCCATCAATAGCCATTGAAACCTGTTGACAGATAGAGATAGAGTAAGCAATTATGGTTTATTTGTAACGCCGATCAATTTTGATACAAAAAAACAAAAAATGGGTGAAAAATTAGGTTCATCGTGTCTTTGCTTAAAAACTCAAAATTAAGACAATGATACTTGATATTGACACAAAGAGTTGTGAAAGGAAGTAACATATCTAAGGGATTAGAAGAAATATTACGTTTAGGTAACGAAAGCTATAGATGGGACGTTGAGAGCTAAGGATGAAGAAGAAAACGAACAAGGCGCAGTCACAGAATGAAGGAAGGGTTTAAAGCTTTCTAAGGTTTTTGTTTAACAGTCAAAAGGGCGGTATGGGTTATTTGCTAAATGAACCCCTTATGTTTACCAATATTGTAAATGCAACCACTATATTTTCTTTAGAAGCAGAAAAGCCCCTCCATTTGTTCGGTTGTAACAAAACGCAGCGTTTCGACGATATGAAATGAAATATTTGATATAAACAAAGCTTCATTTTTTTTAGGCCGATGACCGGAGGCTTTTGTAGCTCCGGCATCGGCCTGGATGGTTTCTTTTGTTCTTTTTGCTTTGAATTATTTGATTTTATCGAAGTTCTATTAGATTTGAGTAAGTTTTTGATCGTTTTTATGGAGATTTTCAATGGGTTTGGAAAGGCAAAAGCTATAGTTCATCTGAACCATTTCGAAGAGGTAGTTGACAGACTTTACAGCGAATGGTGGCAACGGCTTTTCCCGGCTTCAACCGATGATGGTCATTTGTTCAACGTTGGTGGGTTTTCGTCGCAAATCACGGTTATTCCAGAAGGCGGCCTGAAATGCAGATTCCTATTTACTAGACTATTTGACAGGGTAGTCTCATTGACTCCTTTATTAGCAGGATAAATTTAAAGAGTTTTCTCGTCTCGATGTCTCCTACTAGAGCAATAAAAAGAGTAGAACAGTCGTGATCAATTGAGCCTAATAAAGGTTTACAAGGGGTGTATTTAAAATAGAAATTTAGAGGGGTGTATTCAAAATGGAATTTTAAGAGATTTGAGTTTTATTGGGTTTTTAAATGATTTTGATGATTTTAGGGAAGTTCATATGACTTTTGTAAAATCCTTTCAAATCTCACCAAAAACCATGGGATTTGGATTTCTGTATTTTTAACTAAGGAATTCCTCCCAAATCCTCTGAAATCCTTCAAAATCATTAAAAGCCAAATTCACAAATTGTTTTCAATAACAGTGGATTTTAAGGTGGATTTTGAAATCATTAGTTGAATAACAGTGGATTTCATGAGACTTTTTAAAATTCATGTTTGAATAATAGTGGATTTGTAAACTTTTTACAAATCACTTGAAATTTCACTTTGAATCCCCCCCCCCCCCCTTAAGAAATTTGAGTTTTATTGAGTTTTCAAATGATTATGATGATTTTAGGGAAGTTCATATGACTTTTGTAAAATCTTTTCAAATCTCACCAAAAACCATGAGATTTGGATTTATGTATTTTTAACTAAAGAAATCCTCTCAAATCCTTTAAAAGCCTTCAAAATCATTAAAAGCCAAATCCACAAATTGTTTTTAATAACAGTGGATTTCATGAGACTTTTTAAAATTAATGTTCTACACAAATCTCTTAAAATTCTACTTTGAATACACCCCCTAGAGTTTTTGGATTTTATAAAGACATCTTCATAGAGAGTTATCAATTTCAAAAGAAAATATGGAGTTTTCATCTAGATAATCATTAGTCATTCATACGCAAAAGATGTCAATTATTTATTTTGGATCCCTATTGGTGTATCTTTTTCTTTTCTGATTTTTTGTAAAGCCTTTGTGTTTTGGTTATTTTAATAAATTATTATTTACTGTTAAAAAACAATGCTTTTTTTGTTAAGAAGATAAATATCTTATTATATAAAGCCTTTATCTTATGTTTTTTTTAATATTTTTTTTACAAGGTTTCAAAAGCCATAGGTTTTTTATCTTATGTAAACCCTAAACTTTTCATTTATAATGATATTTACATTCATATAAAACATAACATGCATTATGTTAAGTTTGAATTTTGATGGTTACACTACAACGGAGATTATAAGTCCTATGACTAACCCCTAGACTACAAATTATAATCATGTGAGACTGGATTTTTATCAATGGAAGTTAAATTAATTGAAAAATATCTCATGTAGATGAGGTTAATTGGTATGCTCAGTATTTTAAACCATATCATATTATAAATTTCTTGTTCTATGATTTTTGAACAATTTTTTTCATAAGCAGTTTTTGGCATAATGAGATTTTACTTGTATTTTTAGGCGAAATGTTTAAATAAAAATATTATGCAGATTTTTTTTAATCGTTTATTTTCTTATATAATCGTATTAGAAAACGTCATTTCGCCGTTATAAGTGTTACCAATCGGAGCCATATTGTCTTGTCAAAAATGAGAACCCATAAATCCAAATTTGGACACTCCATATCATTGGTCTTTATAGTCTCTTGCATTTACTAAACAATAATCTCCAAACCGGCAATCACATCGACTAAAATAACGCATAAAGGCAAAACAAATGAATCATAAATGTTCACAGTAAAAAATTTATACCATTCGTCCAGTGTTTCATTACTCTCCTAGCTAATCTTTTATCCTCCTTGATCTTATTTTCAGCCATTTTCTGTTCCTTTACAACATCATCAGCTCCAACATGTTCCTCGCTAGATTCATCCTCGAGTGATTAAAAAAATTGTTATAAGAAGGGTTATGAAATGGAACAAGGCTTATTGTCACTCACTTGAGAAACACATATACTTTGATCCCTATGATAATACTATCACCACAACACTCTAAGCAACCATTCACTCTAAGACAATGTGACAATAAATAAAAGCCAAGGACAAACCTTGAATAGAGTGTCACTGTATCTGCCAAATCCAGTTTCCAGCCATGGTCAGCTATACGTTGCTCCTTTGTGATCTCTAGAATTTGCAAAGCTACCAACAAACCCAATGTTTGACCTATTTTCTTCTTTACAAAGTTTCTGGGCTAGCTAGGCTTAGGGTTCCTTGATTCACAAGAGACGGCTTGTCCACAATACATGTGTTTGATGAATAGAAAAGAAAATTGTCTATAATTGAACGAGGAAAAAAAAACTTGTCTATTGATTAATGTCCATAATTACTGCTATAGCTGTCAAAATTTCCCATCTCAAGTAAGCTATTTTGTCTTCTTTCTTTCAGGGTATTTTTGTCTTTTGGAACCATACCATTTATACTAATATGGCACTCCATAAAATACTAGGAAACAAATGGCACTCTCAATTTTTTTAGTTTTAAAAGTGGCATAACTAATAAAATTCCCAAAGAAAATCCCCTTTTAGTAACACGGGGTGTAAAATGTATCCCGACACTTTATAAATGACGCGATGATAGATATATTGAACTCCTTTAAGTGCATGAGTAATGTATAGACATATGTTAGCATATTAGTCTAAAGGCAGTAATTCCAATAATCCCAGATAATTTCAAATCTTAAATATTAAGTAAACAATATATAGAGAAACTAAGGGAGTTCAAATTAGCTAGAGAAAAGAGCATAAGAAAAAAAAATATCACATAGTTCTAATTTTTTTTAAACACATCAAAAGAGCTATTATAGCTTGGCATGGTTGGGCATAACTTGATTTTAAACTTCGGTAACCTTAATTGCTGGGAATATATTTTTGATGTCAATTATTCTTGTAGAATCTGGTGCGCGAGCAATGTATTTTGCGCTTTTAGGCATCACCAACTTCAATTTCACTAGAGATGGTGCGTTCTTGGCAAAGAACTCTACTATGTCAAGCTCATGTGAGTGACCTTTATAGCCAATGATCTTGACTTTCTTCAGAAACTTCAATACGTAGTTGTTTTTCGAGTCGTTCTGAATCTGATCCTTATGATGAATCTCCCATAAAGGCAATTGAGGTTGGAAAGTGAAATTCTGAATCTGCATTTATCAAACAAACCCTATTAGTGGAGAGAGAGAGAGAGAGAGAGAGAGAGAGAGAGAGAGAGAGAGAGAGAGAGAGAGAGAGAGAGAGAGAGAGAGAGAGAGAGAGAGAGA